AAAGACATGAGGTGCACAACGGGGGTGGAGACTCATCTGAAAGCGGCGGCAGAAGGGCGCGGCAGCGAACCCAAAGAGAAGCACCCAAAAGTGGAATCAAAAGGTCGCTGTCGCGAACACGCAGAAGTGGACGCAGGAGGGCGCGGTAGAAAAAACGGCCAAAAATGGTCACAAAAGAGCGCGGCAACGAACGCAATGAGACCTCCCCACGAAGTGGAGACAAAAAGGGCGCGGCACTGGCAGTGGCCTGAAGCACCCAAAAGTGGAGACAAAGGGGCGCGGCAGTCAAAGTGTCCAGACCCACCCAAAAGTAGAGACAAAAGGGCGCGGCAGCGAAAATAAAGAGAAGCATCCAAAAGTGAAGACAAACGAGCGCGGCAGCGAGAGGAAACAGAAGCATCGAAAAGTGGAGACAAAAGGGCGCGGCAGCGAAAGCAATGATAAGGCCCCGAAAATGGAGACAAAAGGGCGCGACAGCGAAGGCAACCTGAAGAACCCACAAGTGGAGACAAAAGGGCGCGGCAGCGAGAGTGTTCACACTCACCCAGCGGTGGAGACAAAAGGGGGCGACAGCGAAAACAAAGAGAAAAACCCCAAAGTGGAGACAAAAGGGCGCGGCAGCGAGAGTTAGCAGAGGCATCCAAGACAAAAGGGCGCTGTGCGATAATCGCCCGAACGGGGGGAAAAAACGACGCGGCGGCGAAGGCAACGAAAAACACCCAAAAAGTGGAGACAAACGGGCGCCAGCGAAGGCAACCAAAAGCACGCAAGAATGGAAACAACAGCGCGCGGCATCCGAAATAGGAAGCGAACGGGCGCGGCGGAGGGAACAAGCAAAGGTACGCAATAATTGGTGAACAACGGACGGAGGCAGAAACATGCGGGGGAGGGTAAGCGGGGAAAGTGTTCCGCGTCGGTAGCACGACCGCGCGCTACACCCGTGGGGCAGAACAACGCCATGCGCGCTACGACAGAACAGCGCGTTCAACAGAACAGCGCGTTGCGCTCGGCGAGGCGACGGCGCCGGGTGCCTGACGTGCAAGAGGCAGCTGCGGAGGGGATGCCACGCGGACATAAGACAGCGCCCTGCGCTGCCTGGCCCCGCGGCTCCTCGCGAGCTGCGACATGACAGCGCCGAGCGCTACGTGACAGCGCCGAGCGCTATGGGGGCCCTTGACATTTTAGATACACTTGGTCGTCGTCCGTCGCAGGCGTCGCTGCCCGAAACACTACGGCATCAACGAGAAAACTACCGCAAACGTGCCTGGCATCTCTGGCAAGTGCCCCCGTCAGTCTTGCAGGAACTTGTCCAGGCCCAGCTCTCGCGCCAACTTCTCCACCGCTTTCCTGCAACGCGCAGTGCGAGCACTGAACATCCGGAGGCGCTTGGCCAGGTCTGCCGGCGGCCCTCGGCACAAAAACTCGAGGCCTGGATCGCGCAACATGAGGCGGCTGTCGGACGTCGTCGCGCGGGAGAGCATGACGTATCGGTGGAGCCATAGGCCGTCCATGTCGTCAGCATCCTTGTGCCCGCCATCGACAATGCCGCCCTGGTGCATGGTCCGGCCTTGGCACGCCGTCGATGTCAGCACGTGGGCGTGGGAGATCTGAAGGCCCGTGCGCCATGCAAGGATAACAGTTGCGCAGATCGCAGCCCCCTAGGGGCGGCGAGGTCCCGTGGTGATCAGCCTATGACGTCGGTCCGCTGGGCCTCCTAGCAGCCCACGAAAGTGGCGACGGTTGCGCAGATCGCAGCCCCCAGGGTACCGCGAGGTCTCGAGGTGATCCGCGTGGGACGTACCTCCGCTGGGCCTCCCAGGAGCCCACGAAAGTGGCGACAGTTGCGCAGATCGCAAGCCCCCCAAGGGGCGGCGAGGCACCGAGGTGATCCGCGTATGACGTATCTCCGATGGGCCTCCCAGGGGCCCCCTGTCGCCCTCCTCCTCCTCCTCCTCCTCCTCCTCCTGGTCCTTCCTCCTCCTCCTCCTCCTCCTCCTCCTCCTCCTCCTCCTCCTCCCCTCTTCTTCCTCGCACTGCTGTCCCCCCTCCTTCCCGTCCTCTTCCTCCTCCTCCTCCTCCTCCTCCTTCTCAGGTCCTTCTCCTCCTGCTCCTCTGCTCCTCCTCTGAAGCAGGGTTCATTTCATTGAAATCCCGTCGCCATCATATGTAATATCGCGTCTGCGTTGTGCACGTTACTGCGGCGGTCTGTGCTGCACGCGCGGTTATCTGGGCTCTAGCCCGAGAGTTTGAATTCGGCGTAACTTGTGGCGCGTGAGTCGCGCCAGGACAAAAGCCCACCGACTTCGCCACTATAACTCATGTGGTGCAGTGGGCCAGACCGAATCTTGGGGACCGCACTTGCGGGCGCAAAAACGCCGATCTGGTTGGCCCGCGGCTGCCCGAACAACTTCGGGCCATTCGACCAGTGAGCGATGGCCAGAGAAGCCGGACTGGGCGATGGCACAGGGGCTGCGCTGGCAGCGGCAGTGGCAACCAGTACCGGGCCGAGAGACATGAACGCAACACGTATGAGTACAAGAATTTCGCGGGACGCTTCTTGAGGTTGCCTGCGGAGGATTCATACCTCCGCCCTCACGTCTCATGTATGTTCCACTGTCTCACTGGCTCAGGGCAAGCGGTATAAGAGGAAGGAACACGTCATACACATAAACTTTTGGCGCTCCGCGCTGATTTCTTGGATCTGCGCTGGACCTCCCTCCCTGGCGCGCGAAGCGCGCTAGGGGCGGCGCCCGAGGCGCCGCCGGGGGGGCCCAGCGTGGATCCAAGAAGTTCGCGCAAAGCGCCAAACGTTTATGCCTATAGCGTTTTTTTCTTCTTCGAGAAGAAGGCCGCCCTGCAATAATAATGTTTGCGATGCCACCCGTAATTACAAACGAATCACATACACGGCGAGACGCCGCGGAAGAGCTCTACGATACGTCGCCCCTGGGCGTGGCAGTTTGTGCCGCGAGGCGCTGGCGTCAGACAGCAAGGGCGATGCGGGAGTTGTGGCCGGGCCTGGGTAGTCGACCGAGGAAGCCAGCCGAGAGGTGGACCAGATCTCTCCCCCCCCTCCTGTTCCATCTTTCCTCCTCCTCCTCCTCCTCCTCCTCCTCCTCCTCCTCCATTCCTTCTTCTTAAAGATAACTCCTCCCTGTCGCGCATCCTGAGGCCAGTTCTTAGGGCGGGCCGGGCGTTTCGCCTGAGACTTCCTCACCATTTTTGATTCTGAAGCTTAAAAGTGGCAACAGTTTCACAGATGGAGGGCGGGTGGTTTTCAAAATGTGGCTCTCGCATTAGCGCCGCGCACATTCGTTTTCAACAGTTGCAAGAGCTTCACGGATTGAGGGCGGGTGGTTTTCAAAATGTGGCTCTCGCCTTAGCGCCGCGCGCATTCTTCGTAACACATAGCAAGAGCTTCGCGGATTGAGGGCGGGTCTTTTTCAAAATGTGGCTCTCGCCTTAGCGCCGCGCACATTGTTTTTAAACATTTGCGAGAGTTTGACGAATTGGGGGCGGGTGGTTTTCAAAATGTGGCTCTCGCCTTAGCGCCGCGCACATTCGCTTTCAGAATTTGCAAGAGTTTCACGGACTGAGGGCGGGCCGTTTTCAACATGTGGCTCTTGCCTGAGCGCCGCGCACACTCGTTCTAAACATGTGCAACAATTTCACGGACTGAGGGCGGGTCGTTTTTTTTAATGTGGCTCTCGCCTTAGCGCCGCGTAGATTCTTTGTACAGAATTGCAAAAGTCTCACGGATTGAGGGCTGTTCCTTTTCAACATGTGGCTCTCGCCTTAGCGCCGCGCACACTTGTTTAAACCATTCGCAAGCATTTCACTGATTTACATGATCAACATACCAAAGCAAGTGTTTTGGAAGGATTCAGAATTATGCGGGTGATACAGTTATGTTGATTCGCGGTGTTGGAATCCAAAAAAATAACATTATGGCACGAGTCCAGATCTCCAGAACGCAGCAGTCAGGTTGATACGTGGCGTTGAAAACCCAAAAACAATGTTTTGGCACGCTTCAGGATCTTCAAACGGTTGTCTTCCCACGAGGCAGTTCCCTCAATGGAATTGAGCCGTTGTAGGGGCCTATGAAGACGGAGCTTGGAGGGAGGGTTAACTCCAACATCGTTGATGGCTTTTCGGTTTACACTGGTCCTCCTCCTCCTCCTCCTCTCCCGCCTCCTCCTCCTCCCGCCTCCTCCTCCCGCCTCCTCCTCCCGCCTCCTCCTCCTCCTCCTCCTCCTCCTCCTCCTCCTCCTCCTCCCTCCCCCTCCTCCCCTCCTCCTCCCCCTCCCTCCCTCCTTCCCTCCCTCCCTCCCTCCCTCCCTCCCTCCCTCCCTCTCTCCCTCGGTGTCGTCCTAGCGGGACCCGAGTGGGTCCCCACCCCCACCACGAAGGGGGACCCCCAAACTTGGGGTTGCGCGCCCGTCCCACCTCTGCTCGCTTGCCATGGCCGCGTTCAGCGGACCAGGCGCTCTCGTGGAGAGAGGAGTGAACAGGAAGAGAACCGGCAGACGGAGGAAGACGGGTGCGCAGCCGCGGGGTCTGAGCCACCCACCCCCCTGTCAGGAGGCGCTCGCGCACCATCCGGAGGTAAGGAGCGGGGAAGAAGAGGCGGGGCAGAGGGGACCAGCAGAAGCGCAGCGGCCACCGGACAGCCAAGGCGATCACGGATCAGCAAGAGGAGGTGCCTGCCGCCCCCCTCCTCCCTCCCTCCCCCTCCTCCCCCCTCCCTCCCTCCCCTCGCCCTCCTCGCCCCCTCCCTCCCTCCCTCACCCTCGCCCTCCCCCTCCCCTCCCTCCCTCCTCCCTCCCCCCTCCCTCCCCCTCCCTCCCTCCCCTCTCTTCGCTTCCTCCCTCCCCCTCCCCCTCCTCGCCCCCGAGGGGCGCACAGGCTCTCCCGGTGGCCTCCTCCCAATGCGCTGGGCGCCCGGGGAGCCCCTGGGTGTGCGGGGCCCAGCCCTGCGCTCCCGGCCGCCCCCCGCCGGCCTCCTCCGAGTCCTCGGACGCCTCCGCGCCGGCCTCGGCCTCGGGCTCGTGCTGGGCCCCCGAATCCTCGGAGGCCTCCGCAGCGGCCTGCTCGTCGGGCTCGTGCTCGTCGGCCTCCTGCTCGGGCTCGTCGACTTCCTGCGGCTCGTCGGCGGCGGCCTCAGGGCCCTCCTCGGGCTTCGGAGGGCGGACAGGGTCGGCGGCGAGCGAGGGGGGCAGCGAGAAGTGTCCCAAGCCCTCCCCGAAAACAAAAGAACTTCTCAGCAGGCGCTAGGGCTTCTGAGAAGTCCCGCCGCCTTCTGAGAAGGCCTGGTCCTCCTCCTCATTCCCCTCCCCTCGCTGGCCGCCGACAAGGGGCAAGGTGGGTCCGTCTGGGCACTTCTGGAACCTTCTGTGTCCCCCTCCTCCTCCTCCTCTTCCTCCTCCTCCTCTTCTTCCTCCTCCTCCTCCTCCTCCTCCTCCTCCTCCTCCTCCTCTTCCTCTTTCTCCTCTTTCTCCTCCTCCTCCTCCTCCTCCTCCTCCTCCTCCTCCTCCTCCTCTTCCTGTTTTCCTGTTTTCCTGTTCTCCTGTTTTCCTGTTCTCCTGTTTTCCTTTTCCTCCTCCTCCTCCTCCTCCTCCTCCTCCTCCTCCCCTCCCCCGTCATCGACAAGTCCTTTTTGCTCTCCTGCGCCGCGCCGACGCGCCTATGGCGTATGGTCCCCCTCTCCTCCTCCTCCTCTCCTCCACCTCCTTCTCCTCCTCCCTTCCTCCATTCTCCCTCCTCCTCCTCCTCCTGCCTGCTCCTCCTCCTCCTCCCTCCTCCGCCCCTCCTCCTCTCCTCCTCCTCCTCCTCCTCCTCCTCTCCTCTCCCTCCTTCCCTCCTCCTCCTCCTCCTTCTCCTCCTCCTCCTCCTCCTCCCCTCCTTCTCTCTTCTCTCCTCCCGCTTCCTCCGGGCGCTGCGGGCCCTGCGCGGTCTGTCCGCGTAGCCCCTCGGCGCCCGCGCGCGCCGCCCCGCGCCGCGCGCGGGCGCCGCGCACGCATGCTCGGACGCGTGCCGCGCACGCAACGAAGGGCACGACGTGCCAGCTGAACGCGCGAGCGAGCGAACGGACGCACAGCGTGCACGAGGGGGGGGGGGGGGGGACGCCTCCAGGGCTCATGGATCGGGGGGGGGGTCTCTCGGCCCCAGCGTGTCAGGGCGCCGACGGCCCCCTTGCGTCACAGGGTCGCGTTCCTCTCCCCCCCCCTCGGCGGCCGCCATCACCCCCCCAGCCCTTCTGCTGAGGGGTGGGCACGCTCACCGCCGATGGGGGGCCTTCATGATGGCGAAGCCGTCGCCGAGGGTCTTCGTGATTGTGAGGCCGTCGCCGAGGGGGGCCTTCGTGATGGTGATGCCGACGTTGGCGGACGAGTGGCCGTGACCTGTCGTATGCTGCTCGGTTCGAGCAGTGTGGGGTTGCTGTAGTCCGAGTCGCCCGTGACAAGATCGCCATCCCTGTTCATCGTCACGTGTTCGTGGTAGTGCCAGGGCCTGGCAACTTCGAGGTTGCCGCCGCGTCGCCGCACTGTCTGCTGGATGCGCTGTTGCAGGTCGGCGTGGTCGCCGTGGTCGCTCCCGCCGTGGGTGACAACCTCGTCGGCGTGCAGCTTGGCGAGGTCTCTGCTGGTGATGTAGCGGTGCTCGGGGATGTCATGCATGCTGGCTGGGATTCGTGTGCATGCGCAGGTGACCCGGGCTGTTGCGCATTCGTACATCAAAAGGATGGTTGTCCTGATGATGTAGTTGTGGTCGCGTGATCGTTGGCATGCCGCAGGTCGCAGATGTCGGAATCCCCAAGGTTGGTTCTTGTCGCGGAGGCTGCGTTGGTCGTGGTCGTTGTGGTAGTCGATGATGCATCGGGCTGCTCCTCCGCGTCTGATGCGCCGCCGCGCCAGCTCGACTTGTTCTTTGGAAGCGGCGCTATAGTTGACCTTTAGAACTCCCATACTTTTGCCGACCTCGTCTACCGCCTGCTGGATGCTGCTGGTAACCTCGTTGATGCTGTCGGTCGTGTTGGACACCGCGATGATGATACTTGGTCGAAGGTCCTGTGCTCTGGTGTCTAGCTGGTGGTTGGGTGTGTGCGTATCGTCTGCCGCTGGGTGCTCGTTGCTCGTCTCCTCCGTGTCGGTGGGCATCGTGGCTGGTGCCATAGCGTTGACCCCAAGCTCGTCGTAGATGATGGGTCCGATCGAAGGTCCTTATAACTGCTGTACTGGTTGTTCGGCGTATTCCTCGGGCAGGTCGTTGTTGTGCTTGTTGAGCCTCCGAATCCGCTTGATCTCGTTCTTGTTGGCGTTGATCTCGCTGTCGGTGAGGTTCACGCAAGCGTTGGCCCAGGATGCTCCGCACCTCCGGAAAGCCTTCAGGTGCTTGATGAGTCTGTTGGCGGTGTCAATATCTCGTAAGCATACCTGGCATACGCTGCCGATGGCCACTTTGTTGATGTCAGCTGCCGGCTTGTGGCGGCGGTAGACGCGCTTGGCATGCGCTGCTCGGCTGGCGAGGATCGCTCCACATGTGTAGAACATGAGCTTGCTGCCTTTTTGGTTGTCTGGGTGTGGTCGCGGTGGGGCTGGTATGATCGATCCGTCGCGTGTCTCGGATATCTGTGCTTTCCACTTGGTATTTTGGTGCTCGCCGGCTCGCCATGCTGAGTCCCGTTTGGAAGTGAGTCTGGTCGTGCGCTGCATGCCGCGCGGGTCGCTGCGTGCTGCGCTGATCCAACTTCGAGCGTCCTGTATGTTCTTCGCCTTGTGGTCGTTCTCGGGGAATTGCGAGTCGCGTTGGATGTCCAAGGCCATCAGCTGGGCCCACTTGCCGTCGTTGTGGATGTCGTCGTCGATGAGCGCATGCAGTTCTCGGGGGCATCCGTCAACGAGCCGTCCACGTTGCCGTGGCCGCTGTGTGCGTAGTCTCGTCTGGAGTGTCGGTATTTCGGCCATGTCGATGATGTCGGCGTTCGTGATGGCTTTCGCTTGATGTCGTGATGCGATATCCCGAGTGCTTGTCTTGCCGCCGTCGAGTAAGCTGATTCCAATTTGTCGTGGTCGCCAATCTTGGTCAATATCCACGTGCCGCTGCTGTAGGACATCTTGGAAAGAGCGAAGGCTTCGAGGTAGTGGATCTTGGCGGTGTCGGTGATAGCTTTCCGTTGGAAAAGAAATCTTCGCATCGGTCCCGTAGATTCTCTGGTAGACGTTATCCTGCTCTTGACTTCCTGGGTCATGTCGTTCCTGTCGTTGATCATGGCTCCAAGCAGTTTGGTGTAACGGGTGTTGGTCAACTCTATTCCGTGGCTGTTGAAGCTGACCTTGCTGGCGATGTAATGTCGTGCTCGTCTGTTGCCCTTCATGGAATTGGCGTAGACCATGAAGCTGGACGTCTTCGTGTTGATGGGCAGTCCCCTTGAGAGGGTGGCTCGTCAGATGCGACCACATCGTGGTGATGATGCTGTCGAGCTTGTCGCCTTCCACGGTCGTTGCGGCTGCCTTGACGTCGTCGACGAATGAGGTCGAGGTTGTCGCTTTCGGCTCGTCGTCTTGCTGCATGATGTATTCGCTGCTCCGGATGTCAACGTCGACCTCATCGACGCAGGCTGCGTGGTGGTAGTCTTTGGTGACCTCTGACATGGGCGCGTTGAAAGTGAAATCGCCGGTTGGAAATCCTGGTCTTGTTTGCAGTAGTGGCCTCGCAAAGCTCGCCTCCGTGATGTAAAACCAAGTACCTCTGTGGGCTTCTGCCAGCATCGACGTGACGTGTTCGTTGTCTACGTGCCGCTCGATCATGCTTCCGTTGCGCATGAGCTCTCTGATGGCAGGATGCAGTGCTACAAGGATGTCTAAGTTGTCCATGACGTCGTCGATCTCGTCCTGGCTCTGCGCGAGCTTGTAGATCAAGCCGTTGATTAGCTTGTGGAAGGCCGCCTTGAGGTCAATCATGATTAGCACCAGGTCGCGCCCCTTCCCGCCGGCTGACTCGAATAGCAATCTCGGGGTCATGTGGTTGAAGTCCGTGCTGTAGTGCTGCCTCCAGCCCGTCTGCGCGCCGAACAGGATGTTGGGGATGAGGTCTTTCATGCGCTGCCTGGTGCACCTGCAATGGTGCTTAACGACCGTGTTGGCAAGCGTGATAGACCGTTGATTGTCGAGCTTCTCCTCGTTGCCCTTGCCTGTCCAGAAGTAAGTCATCCTTGCGCCTTTGTGCGCAAGCCCTTCTCGACAATATAGCGCCGCCTGGCGATGGCGGGGCGCGTGTGTCGAGCAATCTCCTGCGGCACCAGCCTGGCAAGGTCGTCTGTGATTGAGTCGGGCCCTGGTGCGCGTCGTGGTTGTCCAGGCGGCAGAATCTCCGTGAGCTCGTAGATGCTGGCAAAGTTGTAGATGTGCCTATGCATGGCGTTTTGTGGCCAAGTCTGTGGCGTCGCTGTAGGCGTTGATGACGTCGACTCGATCTCCTACTTGGGCCGCCTCGTTGAATCCGAACTGCTTTGTGGCCTCCTCGCCCTTCCTGGCGACGTCCCCCATCGGTTCTCCTGTGCTCGTGTGCATCATCGGGTAAGCCCTTGCCGTGCGTCTTCTTTTGCCTCCGAAGATGAGCAACTTCTTGGTGTACGTCCATTCGTTGTAGTGGTCCTTGGTTGTTCTTGAAGAAGCCGCTGCTGCCGCCTGCTCTTCGAGGAACTGGTCGTGGTCGCGATTGGACATGCAGTTGGTGAGCTTCTTGGCGTCCTTAAGCAACTTCCTTGTTGTTTGTGCGCAGTTGTCAACGTTGTTCGTGTTGATGACCTCGTCTGCCGTCGTAAGCAACTGGTTTGCGATGGTGCGCGCGCTGGAGATGCGCTCCTTCGAGGTGCTCCTGCTCGGATTCTCGATGGCGGCCGCAGCTTCCCATCTGATTCGCTTTGTCACTGCTGGGTGGTGCTTCGAGCTGGCGTTGATCTTCCTGGTCATCTTGGAAAGCCGTCGTCGGTCAAGTATCATGTGCAGTGTCTCGTCGCTGATGTGCGCCTGGTATCACCTGGCGTTGGCCTTCGGAAGCGCTGCGTGCGCCGCCTCTAAGACCGTCATGGTGTAGTGGTAGATGCGCTCGTCGTAGTCCATGTTCCACTCCAGGTGTTGTCGGAATGTTCGGGCCGCTGCTTCGTTCTGCGTTGCTGCGCGGTCGATCTTGGGCATGGTGCCTCCTGTTGTGCTGTCTGGCGTCTTCCAACGGAGCGAACCTTGTACTGGTGCGTGGTCTTCTCTGGGCGTCGTGGAGGTTGTCGTGTTTTTTCTTCTATGCTCTTTTTCATTGTTTCGATTTCGAGCGTCGCGCGGACGCCGGTGGTCGTCTGGCTGTGCTCGGAGCCCATGAGGGTGTAGTCGATGCGACGCTGGTTCCCTTTCGCGCCCTTCCAAGTATGGTGGCTTTTGCCGTGGGGGGCAGTGGAATTCATTCCGCTGTAGCCGTTGGTCACCGCTGCTTCGTGATGTCGGGCTCCGTTGTCGTCGTCGTCGTCTTGTCTAAGTCCCTCGCCTCCCACCGCCGAGGAACGAATGCTGCCCAACCTGCCGTTCTCCTCCTCTTCATCCTCGTTCCCCTCTTTCTCGCCCTCCTGAGATCCAGCTCGAGATGGGTATTAATGACTCAGGGCTTTCGGCCATCGCACGTCCAGACTCGCCCTCGCCCACCTCCCGCCTGCGGCGCGTGCTCTGCGCGCGGCTTCTGTGGAGGGGGTGGGGGCTCAGGTCAGCCCTGACAGGCTGGCGCTGGTCCGCTCTCATCGTTCGCTGGGCAAGGGCTTGTCTAGGGCCCTGGGGGGTCTTGCGGGGCCCGCGGTGGGCGCGCCCTCGGCCGCGAACGCGGGCGGCGATGACGCCGCTGGCAGGCCGCGTCGATGCCGGGGCAGGTCGTCGAAGGCCAAGCAGCGCATGCATATAAAAAAGGCTAAGGGCCGCGCTGCGCGCCATGCGAGGCTTCGACCCGCCATAGGTGGGCAGCGGTGCAAGAGTTGTTTCTCGGCTGGCCCCCTTCCAGGTGCCACCTGTGGCTGCGACGTTTTCGGTATTTCGGACTTTGAACACCTGCAGCTGCGGCGGCTTGCAGGCACGGCTATGAAGCCGTCGGCGCAAGGGGGGGCCTGACCGCTCCCCCCCCCATGTGCCGCGGCGACCCCACTTGGAGCGCGGCGGTGGCCCCGATCGCGAGATGGACCAAGGAAGTCTGGATCGCGCACCGCGGGCTTTGCCCTTTTCCACCTCGTTCGCCACGCCTCGTTCGGCTTGGAATGCTGCGTTCTCCAGGGGCTCTGGGTTGTGGAGGCCCGTTTCTGGCCTGATCAGCGCGATGAGGAAGTCTCTTGAGAGAATACCGTGGCCCATGCCCTCTTTCGCTGTGCTCCGCGATGATCGCGGCATTGATATTCGCCTGGCGGAGGTCTCGCCTGCCGTGGTTAGGTCCCTTATGAAGCGGGCGGTCACTACAACGCTCGAGTGGGATCTTGGGGCTAGGCTCAATGATGGCCGCGCCTATGGCGACGGTATCTTGTCTAGGCTTCGTAGCAAGAAGATGGCTCCGTTCGAGAAGGGGGGCATCCGTTCGGTTGTTCTGCCATGCGATCTACACCCGATCTCGCGCTCGGGGGTTAGGGTGCAAGATCTCGGCCGCGTGCGATCTGCGCGGAGAAGCAGACGACGCACCTAGGCACATATTATGCACATGTTCTGCATGCGAGGAGGCTCGCGCCTCCCCCATCACTTCTAAGGTGCGCGTGTGGGCTGAGAAACCGACGATGTCCAGCTTCCTGTGGAGTTTTCGAGCATCCAGGCGAAAAACTTCCTCAGCCAATGTATTTCGATGGGGCGGTTGCCGAGTTATGCCCCGGCCGGCTTCGAGCACCTGGACTTCGAAACCTCGCTTACTGGTGAAATCTTCGTGAACGGGCCCTGCTTCAACCATGTCATCCCTGAGTTGCCCCGAGCGGGCTGGGCCGCTGCTCTGCTGGATCGTCGTGCGCACGAGGAGATTATTCGCATCGGGGGCCCCGTCTGGCCCCCCTATCCCCAAACCCTTCAGAGCGCAGAGTATCACGCCTTCATTGCAGCCGCTCGGCATCTCAATGGGCTTTCAACGATGTCCTGTGATTGTTTAAACGTGTGCGATTATGTGAGTCTGTCCTGGGTGATCCAGACTTCTCACAAGAGAATAGATGGTGGCTGTGCTCAATTCATTCGTCGCAACCTTCCCAAAACCAGCATGCAGAAGGTTAAAGCGCACCTAGCCACAGATTCGGATGGCAAATTTAAGCGACGGGGGAAACACCTAGTCGATGCCTCTGCCAGAGGTGCCGCCCGCTCTCACCCCCAGCCTGACCCGCTCGTTATGCAGGCCGTGGATCAGAATATTGCTGTCTCGCGCGCGGTTGGAGTTTTGGCAGCGAAATTGCTGCCCCTCTGGCCACCCCTGCGGCTAGGAAAAAGAGTTGAGCGTGTGAAGCCGCCTGCGGCGCCCCGCCCCGACTTCGCCCCGCGCCGCTGGACTCGCCTCTCGAGATCCTGGCGTTGTGACGGTTGTTGTAAGGTCTCCCGCTCCGACAGTCTTCCGCTGCCTGGTTATTGTCGGGGGCTACAGGAGCTAGACCCTGATGTGTTGAGCAGCATCGAGTTATTAACCTTGATTGCTCAGATGGCGCTTCTTAAACGGTTTGCCTAAGATGCAAGGCCTATTCTGGGCACGGCAAGGTGCGCAACCTCGCGCGCAATTGTCTCGGCCTCCCCGCAAGCGCGGGGACCAGATTCGCTTGGAAGCTGATTTCCCAGGGCATTCGCCCGACATTCCCAGGAATCGCTGTCCAGGTCGGGCCTTGGTGACAGGTTACCTGAGGTAACCGACCAGGGCAAGTCGTATTCCCTGTCTGCGACTTGTGTTCTTCAGAAGTGAATGTCCTCGCGGCAGAAAAATCCTCCTCCTCCTTCTCCTCCCTCCTCCTGGGCAGCGACGGCATCGGAGTCCCTCGGGGCGCTGCCTCCCCCCCCCCCCCCCCCCCCCCCGGCGGGCTTTCCGCCGCAAGGGCAGGGTGGCCAACTCACCGGCGGCGCTCCGCCACGAGGGAGGACGGGCAACAGTTGGCAGAAATGAATCGTCCTCCTTCTCCTCCTCCTCCTCCTCCGTCCTTCCGCCGCCCCGCCCCTCCCGCTTCCCCTCCAGGCCATCATGGCGCCGGGCTTGGTCTCCTGACTCCTCGAGGTGTCCATCCTGGCCGGCGCTTCGTCCCGGGGAGTCTCGGCCGCCCCGCGGCCCGAAACGGGCCTCCATAGTCCGAGAATGAGAACCAGCCTCTTCGAGCCTCCTCCCCTGCCTGCTGGTGCAACCGCTGAGACAATAACGTCCGAAGCGTCCACCACATGACCTGTGCAATGGAAGAGGCCTCATCTGGCCGTCCCACCGAGAACACAATGCTGCTCCTGCGCTAACTCATAGACAGGGCTGAATTGGACGTAGAAGATCACAGCCCCATCGGGTATCTCATTATCAAGGCGCTCATCTGGCACTCGAGCTAGAAGACGCGGCACATCTGAAAGGTACTCCTTGAGCGCAACTGTCTTGTCAATTTCTCACTGAGACCAGTGGCAACAGGATGCTCCCCTGTGCTCTTCGCAATAATACTGTTGTGGATGCGGCCGAACCTCCCCGCATTCACTGCAAGAGGCGCCGTGGGCTTCAACGCTGCCAGTACGACAATAAGCGGCGACAGACGTAGTAAGAGGAGGCACCAGGCATTCTTCGGACCGAAGCCATCTCCTCAAGCTTCCTCCCAACATGGAATCGCTGGACATTCCATGATCGCGCTTACCCTGGCCGCCACCGTAAAAAAGACTAATCGTTGTCCGAAGAAGTATATGACCAACCTCCACTTTTTGTTGCTCCATAGCTGTGCGCCCCCATGCGCCCCAAGGCTTCTCCCTGCCTCCCACAAGCCTAGGTGCATTTTGCCCCTCGATCTGTTGAAATCGGACCGCTGGGAACGTTTCAAACAAAGGCTGAGCTGGCGCAGCAACCTCCCTCCCCGAGGCCAGAAGGCCCAGCCAGACACGAAGGGAAGCCTCTTTCGCGAGATCGCCCAAAGAGGCCTGGGGCCCTGCGAACAGGTGACAACTCCTCCAGCCAGTGCCGGACATCACGCCTCATGACCTTCCGCGTCCCCATGGCCATCTTCGCCATCCCCACCATCTTCGACCTCGTCTCGTCCTGGGACTTCTCCTGTGAGACCGAATCCCCGCCTGGAGCATCCGCAAACATCTTGTGCTCCGGCGCCTGCGGCCTCATCATGGGGGCGACCTTCGAGATGTACTGCTTCGCCGCCTTCTCTGGCCTTGTCCCCGCGGGCAGGTCTTCTCGCGCCCGTCTGCTTGTGGTCCGCTCGATGCTGCTGGGTTCTCCTCGACTGATCGAGCGCCGTGTCGCACCAACACGTCTTGTGGTGCGTTCCGGCGTGCTGGCATGGACCGCCCCACACGTTCGTTCGCTCTATTCATCATCTCTGACCGGGGGGCCGTTATGCCCACTGGTGCTCCGCCACATCTTCCCGAGCCTTCGCGACTGCCAGGGCAAGCGAGTTCGCTCCCTCTTGGCCCTCTGACCCTTTGACATTCGTGCCGGACGGTTCCTGGATACTCTGTCTGCGCGCCGTGCATCTCGCGCTCCTTTCACCAGAGACGGAGGCGTCTGGCCGAGAGCGCGAAGCCGACCCCTCCGACCTCCCACCAATCAGCGAATCCATTCAGCTTCTCCTCCACCTCCTCCCTCCTCCCCTCACTCCTCCTCTTCTCTCCTCCTCCCTCCTGCCCTGCCTCCGCCCCTTCTCCTCTTCCCTCCCCCCCCTCCTGCTCAGCCTGCTCCCCCTCCCTCTGACTACCTACCAGACCACCCCAACCCAACCCGAAGACCCGAATTTCGGGTTGGGGGGGGTATGGGCTCCATACGTGTTTTTTCGATGTTCCCGGACCCCCCCCCACTAGAAATCGAGGGTAAATCTGACCCTTCGGGTTGGGTTGGGGTGGTTTGGTGGGTGGTGACCCTCCTCCTCTCGCCCCTCGTATTGACCGAGGGGACTCCCAGCAGTCCTCAGCCATCCCGGGGGGAGGCGTCGTCGGCGGCTGGGGCAGGCCAAACGGCGGCGTCTGCACCGGCTGTGGGCGATCCCCTGCCGCGCCGGGGGGGAACAACCGGAGGAGACGGAGGGGACGGGGAGGACGAGGGGGACGAGGAGGGGAGGAGGGGAAGGAGGGCCTCCCCGGATGAGGTCGCCAACCTCCCCCCCTCTTCTTCTTTTTCCTCCTCCTCCTCCTCCTCCTGCTCTTCCTTCTCCTCCCCCTCCTTTTCCTTCCCCCCCCCCTCCTCCCTCCTCCTCCTCTTCGTCCTACCTACCTACCTACTCTTCGTCGTCGTCGTCGTCCTCCTCCTCCTCCTCCTCCTCATCCTCTTTTTTCCTCCTCCTTCTCTTTTTCCTTTTCCTCCCCCTCCTCCTCCTCCTCCTCCTCCTCCTCCTCCTCCTCCTCCCTCCTCCTCCTCCTCCTCCTCCTCTCCTCCCCCTCCTCCTCCTCCTCCTCCTTCTCCTCCTCCTCCTTCTCCTCCTCCTCCTCCTCCGGCTTCAACCGCGACCCCAACACCAATCCCTCTTTAGGATCGGTGGCCACCTGGGTCAGGCGTGTGAGGGCGTGGCTAACGTCAGCACTGTACACCCCCGCGGCCTGCGGGCAAAAGCCCCTGACCCAGGCCGGGGGGGGGGGCAAGGGAAATTCAGGACAATCAGGAACGCTAGAACGCGGGCGGCCTGGAAGGGGGGCCGGGGGGGAAGGGGACCAGAGGGGGGGAGGAGGAGGGCGGGGGACGGGGGGGCGGTCGTCGCGTCGTCGTAGCGTTGGCAAGGCAGTCGTTTCCTTCTCCGTCGCCTCCACATTCACTCCCTCTTCCCCCCTCCGTCACCATCTCCGCCGCCTCCTGCTGGTGCCTCTTGCTGGCGCCACGGCGCCTGCTGCTACAGTTGGCACGTCTTCGTCGCCGCCCACGACGCTTCCTGTGCCCCTGGGCCACCTCTCTTTCTTGCGCCGCCTCCTCCTCCTCCTCCTCCTCCTCCTCCTCCTCCTCCTCCTCCTCAGCCTCCTTGTCCTCCTCCTCGCTGGGAGCCTTCGCCGCCAGCCTCAGTCCTCAGCCCCCCTCGCGCCACCGCCGCCGCCACCACCGCCGCCGCCACCGCCGCCGCCGCCGAAACCACCGCGGCCGAAACCGCGACCGCCACAGCGCCTCAGCGCCTCCGTGGCGGGGCCGTGGGCCTGTGGGAAGCCAGAATCTGCTCGGCCACCCCTGTCTGCAGGGTGGCCGAGAGTTCTTGCCAGAACGCCGCCGCGTCCGCGGCGGCGCCGGCGTCGCCGTCCCGGCGGTCGAGCCTGTCCAGGACCAGCTGCCTGGCGGCCTCGCCGATGCGGCCCCTGTCTCCACCGCGAGGGGTGTCAGCAGGGGCGTGGTGGGCCCTGGCGTGTACCGCAGCTGCTTGCCGCGCGCCGCATCCTCGGCGGCATGCCCTGGGTGGACTGCCCTGGCCCGCCCCTCGCGCGGGTCGGTGGAGTCTGGGCCCGTGACTACCACGTCCACGACATGCCACAAGCCCTTCTCGCACCACTTGACGTCCAACACCGCCACTTCCAGGCGTTCCTGGCCCGTCGCTGGGTCCCAGCGCCGTCGGAGCCACTGCGGAACCGTTTGCTCGGTGCGCACTGCGCCAGGGACCCTCCTGGCCAGCCAATGGGCCAGCAGGTCGCGGATCCTGTCGTGCCGCGCGGTGCGGGCGGGCCCCGTCTCGCAGGCGATGGCGTGGTGCTGGTCGGGTTTATGCATTGCTCCGCAAACAGCCCCGTCGCGGGACTTGCTCTGACAGTGCGTCTGCAATGCATGACCCTTCAGCAGCCGTGGGCCCTCCATTTAAAGCCGTCTCCACAGATACAGCCGGTACAGATCGGCCGCCATCCTGTGCTCTGGTGCCGTGGGCAGCAGCGTGAAGGCACCCGCGCCCGGGCCTCCGCAGGACTGGATGCGGCCGAGCGCGCGGTCGTCCAGCCCAGCCGTAGCCCTCGCTTGGAGGACGACCACGACGGGCCTCACAAGGTTCTTTTGCCTGCTCCTCTCGCCCTGCGCCAATGAAACCTGCAGGCTGTCGGCTGCGTTGCCCACCCTTGCGTTGTAGGCGGCCAAAACGCTGGCGAAGTCCTGCGTGCCCGTGGTCTGCCTCGCGAGGACCTCCTCGGCGCTGCCCATGCCGAGAGCGAGCGCGACCCTCGGGGCAGCGGCGCTCCAAGCGGCCACGTGCGCAGCTTCCCGCCGGGGTTCGGCCGCGCCGGCAGCGAGGCCACCGTCGCGCATCGGTAGGCACGCCTGGGCCCACTCCCTGTCCGTTTGGGGCTCGTCCAGCGAGCGGTCCCAGATGCCCTGGAGGACGTGGTCGAAGGTCTGCACCGCTTGCACATCCACCAGCTGCGCGCGAAGGGGATGATTCGGTAGGCCCTGGGCGGTCCAGCGGAGCATGCCGCCAGCCTCTTGGAGTTCGAGGCCTGCGGCCACGGCGTCTTGCAGGGTCAGCCCAAACGCTCGCAATGCCTCTGTGACCTTGCCCATGGCCCTGGCGCCACCTCCTGAGCCTTCGGCCAGCTCTTCCAAGTCGTCGTCCTGGCGGTGGGCCAGATTACATCCCAACACACTGAGCTCGTCCACCACGCATTCCCGCAAAGCCGAGGGACACTGGGCGGGGCCCTGGGGAAGTCACACCTTCGTCTTGGTCTCGGTCAGCGCGAGTCCCCAAGCGTTCATCCTGGAGGAAAGGTCCTGGATGCACTGTTCTGCTTCCGCGGCCAGAACCACTGCCACGATGTCGTCTAGATAGGCAGCGATCCTCCTCCTCGTCCTCCTCTTCGTCCTCTTCCTCCTCTTCCTCCTCCTCCCCTCCTCCTCCTCCTCCTCCTCCTTCTCCTCCTCCTCCTCCTCCTCCTCCTCCTCCTCCTCCTCCTCCTCCTCCTCCTCCTCCTCCTCCTCCTCCCTCCTCTCCTCCTCCTCCTCCTCCTCCTCCTCCTCCTCCTCCTCCTCCTCCTCCTCCTCCTCCTCCTCCCCCTTGTTCCCACGCCTCCTCCTCCTCGTCCTCCTCCTCCTCCTCGTCCTCCTTCCCCTCCTCCCTCCTCCTGGGCAGTGACGGCATCGGAGCCCCTCGGGACGCTGCCTCCTCCCCCCCCGGCGGGCTTTCCGCCACAAGGGCTGGGTGAGCAGCTGCCCGGCGGCGCTCTGCCACGAGGGAGGACGGGCAACAATTGACAGGAATTCCTCCTCCTCCTCCTCCTCCTCCTCCTCCTCCTTTGCCTTCTCCTCCTCCTCCTCCTCCTCCTTCTCCTCCTCCTCGTGCTCCCCCTGCGCCTCCTATCCTCCTGCCCCTGCACACCCTTCCTCTGTGGCCGCGGTGCTCTGGGCCTCTTGTGCCCTCGGCCATTCGATGAAGCAGGGCTGCGCCGCCACTGCGGCGGCCGACCGAGTGCGGTTCGGACGTTCTCACCATGCCCTGGGCTCTGCCCTGGGCTCCGCCCTGGCTCAGCTTTCCCTCCCCCCGAACCCCTCCCATCCTATGGTTCCTCAGAGATGAGAGACGTGCCGAGCGCGGGCGGGCGATCCGGCGGGCTTGCCGAGCGAACAGTGAGCTAGGGGACCCCCCCTGGGAACGCTGCGGAGACGGCGGGGCCTGGGGGTAGGGAGGACGAGACAATACATATCAACTAGACCCATCGCGAGCGCTTCGCGCGCGCTCAAGTTCTAGCTAGCTTCTTGGGGCCTCCTCGGAGCATCCTGGACTGCTTCTTGAAGTCGTCATGGGACCTTCTTGGCATGTCTTCGGGGGCCTCTTAGTAAGAGTTTTGAAGCCTTTTGGGTGCAGTCTTGGGGCCTCTTGGAGCCTCTTTGGGGCTTCTTGGGGGCCTCTTGGGGCCTCTTGGGGGCCTCTTGGGGCCTCTTGGGGGCCTCTTGGGGCCTCTTGGGGGCCTCTTGGGGCCTCTTGGGGGCTTCCTGGGGGCATCTTGGGGCCTCTTGTGGGCATCTTGAGGCGGAGAGCTTGAGTTTTCAGTTCGGGTTCCCTCTCTTGGGCCCCTCTTGGGGCCTTCTTGCGACCCTCTTGCGCCGTCTTGGACGGCTCTGGGGCCGTCTTAAGGCTCTCTCGGGCCGTCTTGGGGCCCTCTTGGGGGCCTCTTGGGCCGTCTTGGAGCGGTTTGGGGAGCCTCTTGGGCGGTGCTTTATCGACGGAAACACGAAACAGCGAGAATGCAACAAAAACACTGAAAAAACAATGAGAATCAACGATGTTGCCCCCCCGGGGGCGCTCTTCGGCGGCATCTTAAAGGCCTCTTGGGGCGTCTTGGTGGCCTCCGGGGCAATTTGAACGCATCATGCGTCGACGGAGACCCCTGGACGTCGTCTTGGGGGTGTCTCGAGACCGCCTGGGGCCGCCGGGATTGCTGTCTGAGGGCTCCCCGGGGCGATTTTAAGCCTCCCAAAGGCGGGCCCGGGCCCCGGGCCACACATTTGTGGTCGGGGTTCCGGCCCCCGGCCCCCAGACCTGGTCCCCCGAAATATGTATAGGAGGGACGGCGGCTGGGCGTTGAAGTGGGGCGACTGGGCAGTGGGGGCGTTGGCTGAGGGGAGGTAGCTCAGCAGAGGGCTGGCATCTGGTACTGCGCGCTGTGAACCTGTGATAAATCGCGCCTGGAGTGCTGGACTGTCCTGGCTGGGAAGAGGGCGCGGCTGCGTGCGAAGGCAGCGTGCGGAGCTCGGTACTCACAGCTGCGCATGGTTGTGTCCTTCGCCAGGCTATTTTCTTCCTTTCCTCTCCGCACGCTGTTCTTAGCAACCGGTCTCAAAAAACGACTTCTTCTTCACCCTCCTCTTCCTCACTCTTTACTCCTCACTCCTCACTCCTCACTCCTCACTCCTCCCTCCTCACTCCTCCCTCCTCCCTCCTCCCTCCTCCCTCCTCCTCCTCCTCCTCCCTCCTCCCTCCTCCCCCCTCCTCCTCCTCCTCCTCCCTCCTCCTCCTCCTCCTCCTCCTCCTCCTCCTCCTCCCTCCTCCTCCTCCTCCTCCTCCTCCTCCTCCTCCTCCTCCTCCTCCCTCCTCCTCCTCCTCCTCCTCCTCCTCCTCGTTCCCCTGCTCCCTTCCCCCCCCCTCCCCCTCCTCTCCCAGGAGGGGTGAGCGGCGCGCCCGTGGGCGGCTCTGGCAGGCCCCGCGGCTGCTTCGGCGGCTGCTCCTGCGGCGGCTGCGGCGGCCGCTCGTGCGGGAGCTCCGGGCGAGGCGGCGCCGGGGCCGCCGGGGGCCAACCGGCCTCAGGGCCCCGCAAACTAGAGGCCTCCTAGATGGGGTCGGAGTAGAAGGGGTCGGAGGATCGCGCCGCATCGCCGATGCATCGGCGATGCATCGGCGATGCATCGGCGACGTCGGCGACGCATCCGCGACGTCGGCGCGGGGAAAATCGGGCTCCACATCGAGCCGCATCGGCGATGCATCGGCGATGCGGCGCGATCCTCCGACCCCATCTACTCCGACCCCATCTAGGAGGCCCAGACAAACTGATGTTGTCCCCACCGTACTTCCAGTGGGAGGAAGGAGAGGAAGAGAAAGAGGGTGCTGGGTTCTCGGGATGGCGCGCCACGAGTCCGGCGCTTCCCACAGCAGATCGTGTGAGGAACCACAAAGCCTGGCGTCTGGGAGCTCCGCAGGGAACCGAAACAACATCGCCCGAAAGCCAAGTCAAACAACAGCGTCGGGGGCGCGCAAACATGGATTAGCGATCCATGGACTTGGCGCGCGGTCGCCAAGTCCATGGATCGGGTGAGGTGCCCTCCCAAATGTGCGGCCAGTGCCGCCTGGTTCAGCGGCGGAAATCCGCGATTTCCGATGGAAACGGGACCCGACGCACCCCCCCCTAAATCTTTGCGATCGCCTGACTATGTTGTCCCCATCGTACGTAAGGACCGCATGCCAGAAACAACTTCGAGTACCCAGACGATTGTCGGAACAGTGCTTGCCCGACGCGCTAGCGTTAAGTTGGGCCTGTCCCCCTACAGGCGGAATTGGGATGAATAATAAAGAATACTTAAAACAGACTCCAAAAATGCTCAAAAGCTAATCAACAAATCGTCCCCGTACTATTTTCTTACTGTCTTTAAATAACTCCTCCTGTAGGAGGACAGACCCGACTTAACGCTAGCGAAGTGTCGAGCCGGCATCGCCTCCGATGGCCCGACACGCGAGAACCCCCCAAGTTTCGGTACTTCTTGGTGCTCGAAATTCGTTGTGCTGGTCAAGGTTAAAAAAGGTTGGGACATTCTAGCCGTAAGCCAGGACGCTGCCATCTCGGGCGGGAGGGGGCGAAGACCAGAGCGCGCCCCGCCTGGGCGCGCAGCCCCCCTGGGCGCGCAAGTCACCCCACTTCTCAAAGCGTCCCCCTCCAGCAACTGCAAGCCAGGGCTCTGCCAGATCGGGTGGGAGAAGACAAAGACTCTGGAGGGGCCCTGGAGGTCTGGACAACCTGCCCATGTTTTTCGACGGCCCCGATCGGCGGTGGACACACCTCCCTTTAGTAAACCTCCCCTTAGTGAAAACGGCCTGGGACCGAAACCGACGGACCTGGACCCGCAAAAATGACGGCCGCGACGCCCCCTCGCGAACCGCAAACGGCCAATTCCTTAATCGACGTGTCAGGGTAGGAGGTCTGTCCACCTCCGACCCGACGCCCAGCGAGGGCCCCCAGAGGCTGACGACGGCCAAAAGCCCGCGGCAAAAGCTTTTCGGGGAGCGTCGGATCTCTGGGTGGCCCATGGCTGCAGGATGGGCCGGTCTTCCACCACCACCACCATAAGTTGGAGGAGGGGAAGGAGGAGGAGGAGGAGGAGGAGGAGGAGGAGGAGGAGGAGGAGGAGGAGGAGGAGGAGGAGGAGGAGGAGGAGGAGGAGGAGGAGGAGGACCCCCCCTCCAGCTTATGGTGATGGTGGTGCAAAACACGACCATCATCCTGGCTTATCCAACTGCCCCCTTCGCGGGGCCCTGGCAGCCCGCGGCGGCGGCGGCGGCTGCTGCCCGGCCTGGGGCGGCTGCGGGGGGCTCTCGAGCACGGGCCGCTGCAGCCAGCGCCGTCTCCGGAGCGCGGCGCCCACGACGCTCGCCAGCGCCTCGGGGCCGCCCTTCGGCTGTCTCTCGCGGGGGGATGGCGGGAGCCGTAGCACCTGCCGTTCTGGTGCGATTCCAGCCAGATGTGATTGTCGGCTTTTACCCATGTGTGCCACGCGTGGCACATGTTCGGGTCAGATGTGGAGCTCAAGACGCTCACACCTGCAGACGCATCTTTTAAACCGTACTTCAAGTGCGAGACTTCCACGGTGCTCCATAGCGTTCCAATCACGGGGGCATTCCTCAACAAAAAAGCCCTGTTGTAATCATAGAGACAGCGGGTCGGACGGGGTGGAACCCCCTGGTGGGACACTGGCGCCCACGGATGGGGCCGTGCGGATGGACCTCTTCCAAACGCCATACACAGACAGCCTCCGACGAATTGTGCATGTACCTCCAGGAAGGGCGTGGTGTATAAAGTCGCTGGTTCCCAATGGTGATCGATACACCGCCATCCTTCCCTAAGGCCCATGCACAATCCAGTGGCTGGCGGCAGTGCGTATTTTTGGGGGGGCGGATCCCATGCCCCGTTCCCGAAGAGGAAGGGGGTGCCCTGGCGTGCAGACATCCCCCCTCTGGCCCTCCCCCGCCGCTTGCGCCCTTCCCCTCCCTTCCGTCGCTCCCCCCCTGAGAGCCTTCACGGGTTTTGGCGTGAGGGGGGGGAGGGGGGGAGGCGCCATGTTCCGTGTGCGCACCGACGGCAGCATGATGCAATGCCCCACGAGAGGATGAACGGAGCTGGATCCTGGCCTGGCTACTTCATCGGTTGGCGAACTCTGACAATCTCGGCTCAGGAACCCTGGAGCGGCTACCATGCAAGAGAAGCAAGAGACCTCGTCTCACAGTTTTGCTGAAACAAAAACCCAAGACCTCTGACACCGTTCCCTGACGGTGGTGACCGACTGCATCCGGCCTCGTCGCCCAAGTCGAGCAGCTGCGGCAAGAGAGACTCCGCGGTGATCGCGAGCTCCTTGGGCCCCGCGGCCAGCCTGCCAACGGCCTCTCCGCCAGCCTGCTGATCGGGCGGGGTGTCTCCAGGGCTGCGCATCAGGTGCAGCACCAGACTGTCATTCTGCTGCATCTCCTCGATCATGGCCATGGAGACCTCGGCATTCACGTGATTCACCTTCAGGTGGGGCCCAACCACCCCATCAGCCTTGGTGCCTCCCGTTCCGAGAAGATCACGCTCCCCAGCGGTGGGGGTGGGCTGGGGGCTGAAGTCGGCAAGGAGGCGGACTGGCCTGCAGGGAGGTCCCAGCCCTTGTCCTTGTATGTTTCATCGCTCTTGTCCTCCTCCTCCTCCTCCTCCTCCTCCTCCTCCTCCTCCTCCTCCTCCTCCTCCTCCTCCTCCTCCTCCTCCCCCTTCTGCTCCTCATCCTCCTGACTGCCGATGATTTGCCAAGAAAGGAGCGTTGCAGGCAAGAGCTGTCGGCGCTGATGTGAGAGCGTTGTAAAGTTTCTCGTGCTGTAGGACAGCAGGTGGCTAATAATGTGGCTCGACGCGCAGCGATGACAGTGGACATGGGCCAACGGGATCACCAAGACTTTGATCACATGAGCATGATGGGCTTGGGAGAGCAAGAGAACCCAGAATCGAAACGATAAGTCGGATCGGCTATCGACATGAATCGGATCGGCGGAAACCGGCAGCTAAGCCGGAAAAAACAAATCGGCGGAAATCGGCTGGCTTGTATGCGTCCAATAAGAAATCGGAACCCAAACCGGAATCCCAAGTCGAATCGAATCGGAATCGGAACCCATCGAAATCGTATCCAATCGAATCGGGGGAATCGAGATGAGCCCTGGGAGAGTGGCCAGATGAATGGGCTCCAGGGGCCCCTGCCGCCCCTGACCCCTCCTGCCGTGGGCCTCCCTGCTGCTGCTGCTGCTGCTGCTGTCACTTCCTCCTGCGAAACAAGCTTCGGCGGGGGCCCGAGGCGAGGGTCTGCTGCAGCAGGGCCAGTGGCAAGTCAAGGAGCATTACCGTCGGGGCGTTGGCCTAATGAGCCCTGACTAAGGAACGAGGCCCCTTTTTTTCCATAGGCTAAATTTCGATTCCCGATCAAAGACATAAGGAAAACCGGAGGCAAGCTGTGAAACACTTGAGGAACGCGGAGCCCCTCCCCAGCCAAAAGGGTTCCTTCTTCAGGGCCCCGACTGTATGTGCTGGAGGCCCAAGTCCCTGGAGGGGACCTGGTCTTGTTTTGCTCGTCGTGCTGGCACCATGCGGTTCGTCGAGATCAGAGATGCCTCAAACGGGCCGTGTAAACGCCCCCGCAAGCTCACTGGTAGGGCCGCCGGCACGTCCCGCACGAGGCTGCTGAGGGGAGTGCATCCCTCGCAGCCTGGCGAGTTTGTTGGCGATGCTCGTTTCCCATCTTCAGCCGCCCGAGGGAGCTGGTCCAACCACTTTGGAATGTAGAGCAACCAAACTCCTCCAAGCTGCGAGCGTCGGTCTGGACGGTTTCCCCCAGGGCCGTAGGCGACCCGAGGGGGGGGGAGAAGGAGGAGGAGGAGGAGGAGGAGGAGGAGGAGGAGGAGGAGGAAGAGGAGGAGGGGGAGGGGGAGGAGGAGATGGATGAGGAGGAGGAGGAGGAGGAAGAGGAGGAGGAGGAGGAGGGGGAGGAGGAGGACGAGGAGGAGGAGGGGAAACCAAAGCTCCCCGTCCCCATGCGCGACCGCTTGTCGAGCAGGGAGCGCCCACGGAGCGATGGAACTCTCGTTGGCATCCCTCGCCTTCGGCCCGAGCCCTCGCGAAGAAGCGGCGGGAAGCGGGCGAGCGCGAGGTGGAAGCGAATGCCGCCGCTGCTTCTCGGAGGACCCAGGGAGTGAGGGGGGCGACGAGGGGGGGGGACAGGCATAAGGGGGGAATGCATCGACCTGGACTCGGCGATACGTCGCCGATAGATCGGGGCGACAGGTCTCCGATCGTGAATCCATAGCTTTCTGGGCCGATTGGGGCTATCGGGCCCCTATCGGCGATCAACGGGCGATTGAAGGGCGATGCATCCCCCCCCCCTTTGCCTATCCCCCCCTATCGTTGCCCCCGGGGGAGGGACAGACCCATAGGGCGATCAAGTCTTTGTCGGGGGGGGGGGCGGCTGGCCCCCCCGCACGAGATGGCCCCCTTCGTGCGGGGAACACACAGTTTTCCTCGGACAGATACCTCTCTCGAGTTTTCCCTTCGCTCCCCTTTGGCGATTTCCCTCTACCGAGGGGCCGAGCGACCAGCGTCACCCAGGAAAGTGACAACCAAGCCCTAGAAGTAGATTAGGTTTGCGCCCGCCCCCGCAAAAAACAAATAAGACATATTCTTGAAATAGGAAGGCGCTTAAAGTAGATTGGGATCTGGGACTCCATAAATACCTACTTTCAACGACCGGTGGGTATGGGCAGTGGACTGCATCCTCCTGCCTTCCCTGCCTTCGGAGGCGCAGCCCAGCCCACACAGGTCCCACCTGGGCGCGGACGTCGCCGTTCGCGCGTGTGTTCGCTGGGCTCTGGCTGCTGGCGTGTGCAACGCTCTCTCCACTGGGTGAAATATGACTACCTACCAGACCACCCCAACCCAACCCGAAGACCCGAATTTCGGGGGGGGGGGGGGGGGGTAAGGGTTCCACATGTGTTTTTTCGATGTTTCCCGACCCCCCCCACTGGAAATCGAGGGTAAATTTGAGCCTTCGGGTTGGGTTGGGGTGGTTTGGTGGGTGGTGAAAATAGCAAAACGACCATCTCTGCGGAGAACCGTCCAGGCCCAACTAAGACTGGGCGGGTGGGGCCATAGCCTCCGTGATCTGGTACGCATGGAAGACATCAGCATGCATCGGGGACGAGCGCAGCGTCATGACGGAGGGGAGGAGGACGAAGTTGAGGAAACCCTAGAGGCCGATGCAAACATGCGTTGCCAGTGCCGCCATCCAGTGTCCGTGTACCGGTGTCTGAGCGTTGCTCAGGTGAGGCTTTTGGGCCAGACTCGCCCAATAAAGGTCGTTTGGTTAGCTTTTTGCAGTGGTGCCCGTAGGTACGGGAGCCAGCTGCAGGTCGGGTAAACTTTGCTGAAGGTGCGCGATCACGTCGCCGTCCCAACATTTACGTTGGCCGCCCTACTGTCGCTGGCGCTGTTCTCCCAAGTGGAGGAAGAGGAGGAGACGGAGTAGGGTTGGGAGAAGGAGATCGAGGAGGAGGAGAAGGAGGGGGATGAGGAGGAGGCTAAGGAGGAAGAGGAGGAGGAGGAGGAGGAGGAGGAGGAAGAGGAGGAGGACGAGGAAGAAAAGCAGGAGGAGGACAAGGAAGGATACCTTCAAGCATACCACCACGTATAGTTCTTAAGCTTGGTCTGGCCCCTGGCGCGGACACTTGCCCCCCCTGGAGGCGCCGAACACGGACCACAGAACTGTGACACACCTTTCCGAAAACGCAGTCGGTGAGCTTCCAATCAATGTGAGCTCGTAGACTGCATACGAAACTCGTGAATACTAGCCCCCCTCGCGAAAATGACCCTAGCATATCCGCCACCGTGCTCCGAGGCACGGAGTGGAGGGTTCTGAGGTTCCTTCGAATGCCCTGTATCGAATGTTGTAATCCGCCACCGTGCCTTTGGCACGAAGTGGAGCGCCCCTAGACTCACAGCTGTGCTGCTCCCGCAGCTCAGACTGTAAGTCTTCAGCGGGCCCGAACCCCCAACATTTCCCGGGCCGTCTTGGAATGGCCCGGGGTGGCTCGCGTGAGTAACGGTTTCCCGCGCCTGCTCTGGACGCTGTGCCCGCCCAACACGACCTCCCGAACCTTCCCAAGTGTCCATGAGGGCTTCGAGTCGCCGAAAGATCGCTCCAAGACTCCCAAGATAGCCTCCAGATGACCCAACAGGGTTCCAAGACAAGCGCAATTCATGGATTACCCGGATGAGATTGAAAGAGATTGGGCGTTTCCACCGTTTCGGGTTGTCGCTCCAAGACGGCCCACGAGGCCCCCAAGATCGCCCCAAGAAGTTCCCAATAGGGTTCCGAGACGCCCGAAGAGGCCCCGAAGACGGCCCAAGAGGCCTTCAAGACGGCTGCAACAATGCCTCAAGAGAGGCCCCAATGGGGGAACACGAATCGACTTTTTGAGCTCTCCGCCCCAAGAGGCCCCCAGGAGGCCTCAAGATGCCCCAAAGAGGCCCAAAGATGCCCCCACGAGCCCCTGAGAGGTTCCAAGAGGCAGCACAACTGCCCCAAGAGGCCCCCGAGAGCCCTCCGAAGAGACCCTAAGAAGCATCCATAAGGACTCTGACTCCGATCCACAAGCCAGGCACGGTGGCGGGATTGACCGAAGGCCATTCTATCCGCCGCCCCCTGCTTGCAGGGGTGCACGGCGTGCTGGACGAGCTGTTAGGTTTTGGTTTTGGTTCTTTTTCCAAAAGAACTCCCCAGTGGGCTCCGGCAGAACCCGCCACCGTGCGCAAAAACGGCCGTTTCGCTCGGGACATCCTCAAAAAATCGCGAAGATGGCCCAAGATGGCCTCCAAGTCCGCCCGAGATGGTCCAAGACGGCCTCCAAAACGGCCCAAGAGAGTCCAAGACGGCCCAAGACGGCCCAAGAGGCCCCCCAGAGGCCTCCCAGACGGCCCAAGAGGCCTCCAAGAGGTCCTCCAGGAGAGTCCGAAGAGGGCAAAATCATTGATTTTCCATTGGTTTTTGAAGGATTTTGGCATTTGCGCCTTTTCGGCTCTCCGACGGCTCAAGACGGCCCAAGAAGCCCCCAAGATCGCCCAAGAGGCCCCCAAGAGAGCCCCCTGATGGCCCAAGTGGCCTCCAAGATGGCCCCTAGAGGGCCCCAAGACGGCCCAAGAGGCCTCCAACACGCCCAAGATGGCCTCCAAGACGCCCAAGATGGCCTCCAAGACGGCCCTGGAGCGCCCCAAGAGGGTCCCCCGTTGGCCCAGAAAGGCCCCCAAAACGGCTCCCGACGGCGTCAGACGTGCCAGGAACCCACCAAGATGGCCGAAGTTGGCTCGAAGCTGGCCCAAAAGGGCCCAAGAGGCCCCCAAGAGGGCCTCCAGGAAGGCCAAAAGATGCCAAAATCACTGATTTTCCCAAGGTTTTTGATGGATTTGGGCATTTCCCTTCTTTCGGCCTTCCGACGGCC